AAAAAAAAAAAGAAAGAAGAAGAAGAAGAAATATTCATATCATCACATGGTATGTATACAGACAAGTAAGCAATGTCGAAAAATTGTGGAAATAACAACATCAATAACAAAAGAAATATTGATATGCAGAAAAAAAAAATAAGAGACAGACTGTCAAATTAAATCATAAAGAAAAGAAAAAAGTTCGTCAGAAAAGAAAACGTAGGAATTGAAATCAAAATAGAATTGGTTTGTTGCGTGTTTGTTCGACTACATACGATGTAAAACGTTTAATAAAACGTGGATATTCACGTTTTGCCACACTAATATTATAGACAAAAAAAAGAATTTTATTAATAATAATTCATATATATATATAAATTTACCCTCTTAATGCTGCACTTGGTACCCAACCGCCAGGATTAACTAAATAAAAAATAGTATGTAAAGAATGGAATCCTGTATCAAATTAGATAGCGAAATCTAACTAATATATCTTTATATAGAATAAGTCAACCGTATTATTGATATAGTATTTATGATTAATGTAAGACAAGCATAGAAAAGAAAGAGAAAGTTATTAATCTCGACTTCTTTTTTTTTTTGATGAAATATAATCATGCTTTTCAATCAACAGTGTCTGAAAAGAAAAATAATTATAATCCTACATGATATAATTATAGTAAAATATCATTTCTTTTGATAACGAAGTCTCACGGATTGTTTACCGTCGTCGATTCAAACTAGGAATAGTCTAACTATTGTCAAATTTCTATAACTCGAAAGGAACAAAACATTTTAGACTTTTTCTTCATATCAATAAGTGTTAGATTTCAACATACTAAAAGCAACATATGTAAGTTTGCATTCAATATTTTGTCGTTTAATATCTTGTGGATCAAGTGGTGGTTCACTTATGATTGTTTCACATATTAAAGCAACATTGGCTATAAGACGAACTTGAGGTGATTTAATCTAGCAAAAAATATATAGAATTTTATTCAACAAAACACAATTCTTCTTTTTCCGTACTGGAGCAAGTTGATGTGGTGTGGTATAATTAACTACAAGCCATGTTGGTTGATCTTCATCTGAATTAGATATACATCGAATATGAGACCAAAAACATGAATCACGTTGTGCAGCTGGCCATACACGTTTATGTAATTGAAAAAATATCACGGTATCTGGATCTAATACTTCAATAATTTTCGTTGAATCAAGTGTTGCTAAAGAAAAGATTTATAAATAAAATCATCTCTATACGTAGTTTCTAACATACTTTCCCATTCCATTCGATATTGAAATTCATAAAAATATCGGCAAATTTCATGACCGGTAACACCCTAATTAAAAAAAATAATTAAATCAAAAAAAAATAAACATATTTATTTATTTACTTTGATTGTATGAAAACATTTAAGTGGATCAACAACAATTCCATTCTCTTCAACTTCACGTCGATAAACTTTCATTTCACCTTCTTGATGTATTAAATCCCAACCATGAGATACATCTTCATGTACATATTTTAAATGATCTTGAACAATACGTTCAATCTAATAGATTCATATTAAGAAGAAAAAAATGAAGAAATAAAAATAAAATTTTACTTCATTAGATAATCGATGTTTGCCTTGAATAACTAGATTACCTTCATCCGGTGATGATATAACTGTTCCATTAGTAACTGTACTTGAAGAACTTTTAGATGGAGATTTTGATTGATTTACTGTAGAATTATTAGACGTTTTTGATTTGGATGATAGTTTTAACTAAAAATATAACATAATGTATTTCGAGGGTATAACCGATTCAAACCTCATCCAATAACAATGAATTAGAATCATCTTTCAATGTATTATTTTCAGAAATGTTAGTCGAATTCTCATCTATAGTATGAATACCAATAGATGAGATGTGAGTAAGTAACTGAAATGACTCAGTTGGTATCAATGAGAACTTTTTATTTTTTTGATAAAAAGGTTGTATATCACCAACATAATTTGATAATGATGAATAGGATGAAATTATTTTAGGTGGATATGTATAGTCTAATTTAAATAAATTTGATTTAGGAATCTGATGCTTGTTTTCTATTGAATCCATTATCGTTGCTTATTCGAAGACTTCGTTTCTTTTACTATTGTTATACACGTGCGTATAAGATATCATTGACAATCATAAATATATGAAAAGAAAAACTTTTATCGTCTTTTTTGCTTGTGCCCTTTCACTTATATATACACCTGATTGGTACATAAGGTGAGTCGAAAAAATTATTCATCTACCTGTGGTTATTTTGTTTCAATCATGAAATGAAACAAATATTAGAGTATGACAAGATTCATCTGATATACAACTGCTTTAATCTCTAACTTTCTTCAGTTTTATTGAATAAGACAGGTGAGTAGATGAAGAATTTTTCGATTCTACTTAATATACATCAAGATTTTAACAATGATACGATTGAAATAAAATAGCGATTTGTACATATTATATAAAGGTCGTGTGTGTATCTTATTCATCATTGACTATGAGCTGATAAAATGACGCAAAAGAACAGCAAACTTTATCATTTCTATTACTCCTACATATTGATACAAATTTGTTCGTTATTTTTGTTACTCATTTTCAATTTGTATACATCAAATAATAACAAAAAAAATCAAATAATACTTACAAATCGTTGATAACTATCAGTATCACGATCGATACGATCAAGAGATTGATCGAGTGCATCAAAAAATTCCTCTTCTTTTAATGTACTATGTGGTCCTTCCTTTTAAAGACAAAAGAGTAAAAAATTTAATTCGAATATTTATCTACTTACTTCGGAATCTGGTGAACCAAATGAAGGAATTTTCTGTTTATTTACTTTACTATATAAATCTTGAAATTTCTTTCGACGTTCCAATTCCTATGATGAAAAGATAATAAACCTTAATAAAAACAATAAATGATGTTTTGTTTTTCAACTAACTTTGTCATATTTTTTTCTCCAAATATCTTCTCGTTTTTGCATTAATTCAATAGAAAAAGCTAAATTATGTATCACACCATCCGTTGTTGCTTTAAATGTTAAAGCTAAATGAATATAAAATATAAATAATAAATTTGAAAACAAAATAAAAATTAACCTTCTCCTTTAAAATCAACTGCCATTGCTGCATGATCACCAAGTGCTAATTGATCAATTCCTAAATGAAACTATTCTACTAGAAATATTGATTATTAACAATCAATAACAAACTCGGTTTTGTCGATGAATTTTTGATTGTATCATCTGATGAGATTGATATTGAACTAATTTTATCTAACGATTCTTCAAAATCTAAATCATTTGCATTCTCATCTAAAGACAACAAAAAAATGAAATGATCGTTTATTTTTATTAATGATAAATCTTGATTATTACTAACATTCTTTTTGATATGGCTCAAATCCTGTTGTTACTGCATTGGCACATGCATCAAAATAAGTTTGTAGCGTAGATACTTGTTGTACAAGTAATTCTCTAAATGTTTCTAATTCACTTAATTTCTCTTTTAAATTACGATCTTTCTATATAAAGATTTAAAAAAAAAGAGAATTATTTTATTTTTCAAATATGAAATTTTTTTTTAGTTACTTTGAATGATCCAGTTGATGTCGCACTAGTACTTGCCGTAGATGCTAATGAACCAAGACTAGGATGACGTCTTAAACTTGTTTCACTTCCATAACCAGATTCACTTTTACATAATTGTTTATGATCTTCTAAAGCTTGTATCCAACGTTCACGATCATCAGGACTATGTGCACGTATATACCATACTGAATCACCAACACGTATATCAAAACGACATTCATCAAATTCATGAGACTAAATATAAACAGACAAACAAATTATTTTCTAATTCATCGTTTTCAACTTCGTTATTTTCTTTTGTAGTTTAATAATAGAGATGATTATCAAAAAGAAATCTAATTTTAGTAATACACGAAAAATAATTATCTATACGATTGTTATGATAATACATGTTATCATTGTTATCTGTTTCTTGCTTTTTAAATAAATAAAACTTCACTCTATTTTGTACCTGAATAAGAGCTTGTTTAACAGAAAGAGCACCTCGACAACCAAGGCCAATATCAAATTCATTCTTATAATAATTTAGAAATCCATTTTTTAATATCAAATATCTTTCTTGCCATCCATGTAAATAATTAGTCCATTTAAAAAGTCGTCCTTGAAAATCTCCATTTCGAAATGATCCACTCGTTGTCTTTTCATCCTCTAGTGATTCTTCTTCATCATCGGATGTTGTTGGATATTCAACAATAGTTGCCATTCAACTAATTCTTTCGTTTTACATGTAAATATGTAAAAGACAATAAAGAAAAACAAAAAAAATTTAAAATCGAACAACAAAGTTAGATCATGAAGAAAAAAAAAGAAGAAACAAACATCCACAAATAAGATAAGAAAAACTATGGATCAAATTTACTTATAATTGGTTCATCTGAAAGACGAATGAGATTGTAAGAATGGCACCATTCTTTTGCTTTTCTATGCTTTGTTATTCACAGAATCGGAATAGATTATTTTGATATATATTTATCAACAAATTTACTAATGATGAATCTCTTTAATTATCAATATCTTGGTCGTGAACATTTAAGAGGTCTTAATGAATATAAGGTAAATTTGAATATAGATAATTGATCTATTTTTGAAACTTGTTTTTTT